AGCAAGCAATAATGACTATAAAACTCAATATATGAGGAATCATAATTCCAGGTAATGTATAAACTTTTTTGGTCTTCATTTCTTTGTGGTCACTTCCATCATCATTTGGTTAGCCACATTGAAAAAACTGTGTCTTTTCTTGACAAAATAATAAGTGAAGCTTGTTTTGCCACCAGTAAATTAAGGTTAAAATTAATAATACCAATTTATTTCCATAATTTGCCTAATCTTAAGTTATACATTTTTTAAAAACTTTCAAAGAAGCAACAGTTTTTAATTTTGATGAGGTTTAATTTTATCAATTTTTCCTTTTGATATCAAGTCTATTAACTCATCCCTTAACACAGGTCCTGAAGAATTTTTCCTGTTATTTGCTAAAATTTCTGTAGTTTTATATTTTACATTTAAGTCCACAGTCCATTTTGAGTTAATTTTTGCATAAGATATGAGGTTTAGGTCAAGGTTCACTTTTTTCTTTTCTTTTTTTTTTTTTTTTTTGTGCCTACATATATCCAAGTGTTCCAGCACCATTTGCTGAAAAGGTTATTCTTCCTCCACTGTATTAATGTTGTACCTTTGTCAAAAATCATTGGGCATATTTGTATGGGCCTATTTCTCACACTTACAATTGCGATTACCCATATACTCAGACACTGGGAATGTAGAATGATACAGCCACTCAGGAAAATAGTTCTACAGTTTCTTCAAAAAAACCAAAAAATAAAACTAAACTTACCATATAACCCAGCAGTAGCACTCTTGGGCCTTTATCCCACAGAAATGAAAACTTAGGTTCACACAAAAACCTGTACACTAATGTTCAGAGCAGATTGTATTCATAATAGCCCCAAACTGGAAACAACCTGTATGTCCTTCATCAGGATGATAGTCAAACAAATCCATACTGTGGATACTATTTAGCAATAAAAAGGAATGGACTATTGATATATGCAACAACTTGGATAGATCTCAAGACAATTATGTAGAGTGAAAAAAAGTCAGTTCAAAAGGTTAGGTATTGTATGATTCCATTTATATAAGCTTCTTGAAATAACAAAACTATAGAAATGGAGAACGGACTGCTGGTTGCAGAGGGTTAGGGACTGGGGTGGGAAGGAGGGTGTGGCTCTAAAGGGACAGCACAAGAAATCTCGTGGTGGAGCAGCTCTGCATCTTGACTGTGGTTGTGGTGGCAGGAATCTTCACATGTGATAAAGTTGCATAGATCTACACACACACAGACTCACACACACACAACTGCATGTAAAACTGGTGGATTGTAAAACAGTGTGCGTTTCCTGGTTTTGATATTATACTATATATATGCAGGATGGTATCAGCAGGGGAAGCTGTGTGAAGAATACACAAGATCTGTCTGCAACTTCCTCTGTATCTATATTACAAAATAAAAAGTTTTTTTAAAAGACTTAATTAA